TGTGATGGTACTATAGTACTTAGGTTTGAGCTTCATTGCTGGAATGCTAGATGGCGTTAAAGTAGTCAAATAGCCAGATGCAGAGGTATTATTGGCTAAACAATTTCTTTATTTTATTTAAAAAATATTTTTTTTATTAAATAAAAAGTAGCCTATAACCATTCGGGGACCACTAAGAATATGTGTACAAATTTTCATGATGATCGGTTAAGTAGTTTTTTCGGAAAAGTGTAACAAACATCAGGACTTTCGCATTTATAATATTAGTAGGGATTACTTTTTGTATCTCAAAACATGAAAAACTAACGTTATAAAAGTGAAAGTTAAAAAAATGCATTTAATTTAATTGCATTTCTAACTTGCCTCGTAAAATGTGTTTAACCGAGTGAAATAATCAATGTGTAATAGAATTCAATAGACTAACTAATAGTGTAATAGCAATACTAATACTAATGGAATCTGGTGGCACTCGAATCATTTACGAATTAAAGTGGAACACGCTTCCGCCATGCAGTGGTCGGTCACTGCCCAAATGTATGCGAATTGCAATTTATAAATACATGTATCATGATTTCAGCATGGCACTAATCAACTATTATTGCTGGCAATAGTGAATAATTGGTGTTAATTTAAATGGTGTTATTAAATTATCCGAGTGTTCTGATTTGATGTTGAAATATTCTCGTTTTTGGTGCGTTTGTAAAAAATCCCAAGTGGCTTTTACTCGTACTTGGTGTTTTTGTGATGCAAAGTGTCGTAAGTGTGCTTTTTCGGCTATAAATCAAGTTTTTGTATTTTTTCAGAGAAGTTTCTTGGGCAGCAACTTTCACGCGCCCGCCACAGGGCACTTTATCATGAATAGCACTCGTAATGTGTTTTATTTCCTAAGTCGAACTTGCACAAGTCCGCAAGTTATGCGTATGAATAATAATCACACAAGTTTTTATCGAAAGGAAAAAAATCACACATTATTAGCATAACTATGGACAATTTTTGTTACTTTTGGTAAAACATCAAAGTATATAATTTATTTATAATTTTATGTAATTATTTCTTGTATGTTCGGTGAGTGTACGGCAACTCAAAGCATTGTCCAAAAATATTTTTTGTAAAAACTTCAAAATTCTTATATATTTTTTAATATTTTTATTTAATTATTTATTATTATTTCTCGTATGTTCGGTCATTGTACCGCAACTCAAAGCATTGTCTAAGAATTTTTTTGTAAAAACTTCAAAATTCTTATATATTTCTAAATATTTTTATTTAATTATTTTTCTAGTATTATTTCTCGTATGTTCGGTCATTGTACCGCAACTCAAAGCATTGTCCAAGTATATCTCCCAATCTAGGTTATGGGATCGAAGTCTATTTATTTTTTTAAATTCTTTTCGAACGCATCAAAATCAAAGTTGCGCGTTTGACACAGTTTCGCTCTTGTATATTGACAAAATTGCGGCTGGCGGCGATTCGTTAAACTTCAGCGCGCAACTTTAACTTGAACAAACAACGCGTGCAATTGCACATGTGCGCTCACAAGCTGAATGCAGCTGCGGCGTGTGCGCAACATTTATTAAGTAGCGGTTTGCAGTCTTTTTGGCTTTTCAGCGCACGACCGGAGCTAAAACTCAGTTAACCAACATCTAAACTGCAAGAAAAACAACCTATAAACAAACCGCTCGTAATTTATAAATAAAATACGACATGCACGCTTGCAAACTAGCATTGGACACGCATTATTGTCATTTTCAACAGTCAACAGTTAGACATATCAATGCCAAATGTAAAAATAAAAAATAAAAAAATAAATGAAAAATGAGCGCATCTGAAGGCTAATAATGCATAATGCATTATGAACACATGTTCGAGTAGAGAAATTTATAGGTTATGTCGGTGTAGGTAGGTTGTAATAGTAAATGACCATTAGTGTTGTGCGTTTAGTTAGCAAATGTAAAATGATAGCGGATAATGTGCTCATGTTCGCAGAGGAATATCAATATTTGCTAAATGCCATCGTCAACATCAGCTACTAGTGTGACTTGCGCAGTTCGCAAAAAATAGGAATTTGTTTATTTTTGTTGTTAACAACAAAGTGTTATACAAGATGCGAAATTCATATACAACGTGACATTGTTACACTGTTATTAGGAATGTGAAAAAGGAATTTTCAGTTCAATACCGGTATTTTTTAACAAAAACCGGTATACCGGTAATACTGGTATTTTAAAAAAATATTTATTTTACCCAAAACCAAATTAAACACCAAATAAATTTATATCGTATTGAAAAATACCGGTATTTGAAAATAAAAATACCGGTATACCGGTTTTTGTGTTAAAAAATACCGGTATTGAACCTAAAATTCCTTAAATTAAATTATTTAATCCATTGTTTAATTTTTATAAATTTTGTAAGTATGCCAAATAAAAACAAAATAAAAATACCGGTATTTCACACTCCTAATCGTAATACATTTGAAAATATGTATCCACCGGGGAAAAGTACAAAACAAAAGCACACAACATGAGAAACCGTTTTATTTTTGAAAAGCAAAAACGACGTAAACAAAATTGAAAATATATCCGCCGCGAAAATAACGCGAATAAATAAGACAACGCTATTGATATTCGCGAGTATCACGCGTATATTCCCCTCGCAAATGCGACATTGACGAATCGATTTATATAAACGAATAAAATTTATATCACCGCGGCGGCGGCGTGTATTTCTTAGCGTACGTGTTGACTGAATCGAATAGGACACCGCGGCGACGCCGGCAAGAGGATTCAGGTTACGAAAATATTTGCCTGCTCTGGAAGGCAGAAGATGCGAAAACAAGCGCACAAAGATAGACAAATAAAGATAATACAGAAAATGCAGACACATCGCTTATTCTTATTTATTTATGTCTCGTTCGACCCGAAATGATTAATTTCGATGCATGAAGACGTCGAGATGACAACCGCTTAACTCGTGTTTGTAAATAAAGATATTATGTCACGATTAAAATGTCATCGTCAAGAACTTTTATAAACGGACATAAAATCCACGAATTTTATATATTTTTTTATACATATGATAATTTATGAGGATGAATTATTATTTATTTATGCGCAGAGCAGGTATCACGCTCATTAATTAAGTTTGACAATTAATTGTCGTGAGAATGATTAATCGTTGCTTTTTCTGCGTTAAACGAGTATCGATTTCACGCGGATGGCACTCCGGAGAAGATTAAGTAACAATCAAGGCTTATTAGAAAATTACGATCTTTATTCACTTTATTCGTGCTCGTCTCCAGTCGGAATATTAAGAGGGATTATGCAGTGATTAATTACTAAGTGTCCGAATGCGCTCTTGGTATTTGTAGCCAAGTGAGCAGTGAGTTGAACATAGTTGGTAATAAAGCGGAACGGGAGGCGTTTAATTCATGTGACTTGTGAACTTTAAATATTTAAACACATTCATTAATCTTTTTTTTACCGAAGAGAAGAAGCTACAAGTTTTTTCTAAGATAGTGGCGTTAATTACTGGTTTTATTACGTTTAAGTTGTCTTTATTTTAAAAAAAATAATTTTTTGTGTTTTTTATTTGGCTGTGACTAAAGTACTTTAGTCACGGGAAATATTAATGAAAAAAAATATATTTTTTTGTATTTTTGCCAGTTTTTCTATGGTTTTGAGACATGAAAAGTGGTACTTTATACACGGATGGCCAAGGCCGTGACTAAAGTACTTTATGTGTCTAAAAACCGTAAAAAAGTGACATTTTAAAGCTAGAAGTACAAAAAAAAGTTTTATTTAATAAATACACAATTTTAGTTATTTTTCAGCTGCAGTTATCAATTATTACTACTAATTCCGCATTTTAATGAATTTATTTAAATAATAATAACAATGCAATGTTTGTTATATTATACCATCATGTAATATATCCTCAAATAAGCATTAAGTTACAATTAAAAGTTGAAAGTTCAACACGCCTTGTTTTCAGCTGTTTTGTCAAAAGTACATTTCGCGGAATTCAAGCGCCGTGGCGTAAAGTTCACAATGTCTTTTTGCTTTCGCGAAGGTCGTAATTGTGCGGCGTTATTATTTATTATATACTTACCAGCGACGCTTTAACTTGAGCCAACTTTTAACTAGGAAACTAGATAGACAAGTGCGCGGGATGTACTCGTACTCGAGGGAGCGAAGACTGCATCGATGGCGAAATTTACAAAAACAAAATGCAGCAAAATGCGGCGGTTCAAAGAGCAAAACGTAGAAAAAAAAAACAAGCGCGAGCATAATAGAAGTGCACACGACGGCGGTTTTCTTTTTAATAAAATATAATGCGCACAAAGATGACAAAAGAACGCTTTATATTCCACACTCGCAGACTCAACTTGAATCAACACCGAAAGCTCTTCTATAAGTTATGCTATATCTACTCAAGTTGAAGGAGAGACTTTAGAGTGAGGTTGCAAGTAGGCAGGAAAACTTATAAAAGCAGGTGAATTGATTTTATATTATAATATGGTTAAAATATTAAATTATTGAAGATGTTTTCTAGGGAGTTGTAATTTTATTATGTGTGGAATAAGGGAAAATTTGGAGATTTTTGAGGAAACATCCTGTAAAAGTACGCACGTACATATTATGCTTCTTTTATAATCCGCTCATCCTGAATACACAAAATCTCACTTTCGCGTGAAGGCGTCAAGGTCTTTAACACCACCGTAATTTGTTTAATGTGGCAAAAAGTGCAAAGTTTGTTTTTTACCAAAAAAATATTTTTCAAATTACTAGAGAATATGTTTCAGTTTTTGTATTTATTTTTGTATTTATTTATTTTGTAGCTATAAATTTGACCATAAAATCCAATAGATATTAATTTTATATGCACGTACCTATAAAATCACAATTTTAGTGTTTTTTTGGAAAATATAAATTCTGATAATACAAATTTAATTTACCTATAAATACGGATCACGACCACGATACTAGAACAGTTCCAAAATGTCGAAACTACTCGGTATTATCATAATAATAGTTGTGCTGAGGTGTGAATCTCATGGTAAGCAAAATTATATTGATACACTTTATAACATTTAATTAATAAATGTTTATCACAGCAGAGAGAAAAATCTTTCGCGGAGTTGATATTGATATTACCCAAGCGCCCTATCATGTATCTTTGCAAAAATATTATTCATCCACCGGTACATTTATGCACTATTGTGGTGGATCAATAATAGCACCAACATGGATATTAACAGCTGGGCATTGTGTTGTTAAAGTGATTTTTAATCGTTCAAGAAAGGAAGACCTACAAATAGTTGTCGGCATGACAAAACTCTCAGAACCAGGTGTTCCACACCAAATCAAAAATATTACATTACACGATAATTACCAACTAATTGATGATTCACTTCCGGAAGTGGGACAATATGTATTAAATGATATTGCATTGATTGAATTAACATCTCCGATTGAATATACTGAACGTGCTCAACCTATTCCATTGCCAAGTGATAATGATTCTCCAATACTTGGGACCCAATGTCAGGTTCAAGGTTGGGGATTGATAAATAATAACAAAACGCTTCCTGACCATCTGCAATCTACTACTGTAAAAATAATAGATTCTGATAGATGTACTAATGAGTGGAAAGAAATGATAGAATTGCTATTAGATGGAATTCCGTACATATGTGCTATGGGGGACAATGACAATCGTCCTTGTTCGGGTGATTCAGGAAGTGCTTTAGTTTGCAACGGAGTGCAAAATGGGATTGTGTCACAAGGATCAGGGGATTGTGCAGATGAACCAGAACCACGGTCATCATATACCGATGTATTTCAAATGCGTGATTTTATTTCTGTTGCAACTAACTATGAAGTTACATTTTAGTATTCACGTGTTCGAATACAAATTGTTTACTTTGTTTATTTTGTTACAAAGTATTTGACCATAAAATTTAGAAAGAATTTATTTTATATGTTTATACCTTTAAAATTGCCATTTTAGTGTTTTTTGAAAAACATAAATTATTTTCCTTCAAATTAAATTTACCTATAAATACGGAGCATTACCACGATACTAGAACAGTTCCAATATGTCAAAACTACTTGGTACTATCATATTAGTAGCTGTGCTTGCGTGTGAATCTCATGGTAAGCAATACTATATTGATACCCTTTATAACAATTAATTAATACATGTTTATAATTAAATAGCGAACAGAAAAATCTTTCGTGGACTGAATATTGATATTACCCAAGCGCCCTACCATGTATCTTTGCAAAAATATGATCCATTCACCCATACATTTTACCACAACTGCGGTGGATCAATCATTGCTCCTACATGGATATTAACAGCTGGACATTGTGTTGATAGAGGGTTTTTTAATCATACAAGAAAGGAAAACTCACACGTTTTAGTCGGCACGACAAAACTCTCGGAACCTGGTATTCCACACCAAATCAAAAATATTACAATACACGATAATTACCGAATAATTAATATTCCACTCTCGGAAGAAGGACAATACGCACTAAACGATATTGCAATAATTGAACTAACATCTCCGATTGAATATACTGATCGTGCTAAACCTATTCGCTTACCAAGTAATAATATCTCTGCAAGACTTGGGACTTTATGTCAGGTTCAAGGTTGGGGACTGATAAATAATACTACACTACCTGATCACCTACAATCTACTGGTGTAAAAATTTTACAACCCAATACATGCTCGTATCTTTGGAAGGAAGTAATTGAATCACAACTATCTGAAATTCCCTACATTTGTGCTATGGGGGACAATGACAATCGTCCTTGTTCTGGTGATTCTGGAAGTGCTTTACTTTGTAATGGAGTGCAGACTGGGATTGTGTCTCAAGCATCAAATTGTGGAGAGTATGCAGAACCATGGTCAGCGTATACTGATGTATATCAAATGCGAAACTTTATTTCTGCTGCAACTAAGTATGAAGTTACATTTTAATTCTTTGTAATAATGTTAACATTTAAGAAATAAATCTTAATGTAACAATAGTTCAAGAACTATTGTGCATCACCTTAGCATCCAAAAATTTTAAAAGAATTTGCTACGAGCTTTGGATGATACCTATAGTTACGCAACAGCCCAAGGTTCCAGATAAAAAATACTTGAATTGTCGCAAATGTGATTGAATACAAAAGGTGTTTGTTTACTTTGTGGTAATTTGGTCATAAAATCTAATCGGAATTTATTTTATAAGTACGTACCTTCATAATCGCAGTTTTAGTGTTCTTTGTAAATTATAAATGATCCTTACAAATTTAATTCTCCTATAAATACGAATCACGATCACGATACTAGAACAGTTCCAAAATGTCAAAATTACTCGGTACGATCATATTAGTTATTGTGCTGACGTGTGAATCTTATGGTAAGCAAAAATATATTCATACTCTTTATACCAATTAATCAATAAATGTTTATAATAGCACACAGAAAAATTTTCCGCGGAGTTGATATTGATATTACCCAAGCGCCCTATCATGTATCTTTGCAAAAATATATATCATCCTCCCGCACATATGCGCACTATTGTGGTGGATCAATCATAGCTCCCACATGGATATTAACAGCTGGACATTGTGTTGATAAAGTGATTTTTAATCTTACAAAAATGGAAGACATACAAGTAGTTGTCGGCATGACAAAACTCTCTGAACCTGGCATTCCTCACCAAATCAAAAATATTACAATACACCACAATTACCAACTAATTGATGATCCAAATCCGGAAGAAGAAAATATTCAGTAGACGATATTGCATTGATTGAACTTACATCACCGATTGAATATACTGATCGTGCAAAACCCATTCCATTGCCAAGTGATAATAACTCTTCAATTCTTGGGACCAAATGTCAGGTTCAAGGTTGGGGACGGACTAATAATAACACAAAACCTGACCACCTAAAATCTGCTACTGTAGAAATAATAGACTCCAATGAGTGTACTAACGAGTGGAAGCAAATGACAGATTTACAACATTCTGGGGTTCCATACATATGTGCTATGGGGGACAATGAAAATCGTCCCTGTTCTGGTGATTCTGGAAGTGCTTTAATTTGCAATGGAGTGCAGAGTGGGGTTGTGTCGCAAGGACCAGGGGATTGTGCAGATGAACCAGAACCATGGTCAGCATTTACTGATGTATTTCAAATGCGTGACTTTATTGCTACTGCTACTAACTATGAAATTATACATTATGTTATAATGTTAAATATTAATTACAATAGCATCATGAACTATTCGAATACAGAGCATTGTTTGAAAAGTTATTGTGTTATACCTTGATCTAAACAATCAATCCTGAAAGCAGCATCAAGTGAGAGCTGACACAAGACCTGTTTATTAAAATTAAATTACAATCGGAAGAAAGGGTCTCATATTATATTATGCCATCGTACAAAAGTACTTTAAAATTTGAATACAAATTGTAGTGTTTACTTTGTTTTAGAATTTGATCATAAAATAGAAAGAAATTTTATTTTCCTTCAAAATGGCTTTTTAGTGTTTGTTGAAAACATAAATTATGATCCATCAAATTCAGTTTACCTATAAATACGGATCATGACCACGATACTAGAACAGTTCCAAAATGTCGAAACTACTCGGTACTATTATTGTAGTAGCTGTGCTGGCGTGTGAATCTCATGGTAAGCAAAACTATATTGATACCCTTTATAACATTTAATTAATACATGTTTATAACAGCAAAGAGGAAGATCTTTCGTGGAAATGATATTGATATTACGCAAGCACCCTATCAAATATCTTTGCAATATTTCAATGCATCCAGCCGTAAATATGCGCACATGTGTGGTGGATCAATCATTGCTCCTACATGGATATTGACCGCTGGACATTGTGTTGATATGAGGGTTTCTAATTGTCTAAGAAAGGAAAACCTGCAAGTAGTTGTCGGCATGACAAAACTCTCTGAACCTGGTGTTTCACACCAAATCAAAAATGTTACAATACACGTTAATTACCAAATAATTAAGCATCCAGATCCGGAAGAAGGATGTGTATACACTAAACGATATTGCAATAATTGAACTAACATCTCCGATTGAATATACTGATCGTGCTAAACCCATTCGATTGACAGGTAAAGATGTCTCCTCAATAATTGGGACGCACTGTCTGGTTCAAGGTTGGGGATTGATAAATAATATCACACTACCTGACCACCTACAATCTACTGGTGTAAAAATATTACAACCAAATACATGCTCTTATTTTTGGAAGGAAATAGTTGAATCAGAACTATCTGAAATTCCGTACATTTGTGCTTTGGGGGACGACAACAATGGTTCTTGCCAAGGTGATTCTGGAGGTGCCTTAGTTTGCAACGGAGTGCAGAGTGGGGTTGTGTCACAGGGATCACGCTGTGGAGAGTATACAGAACCATGGTCAGCATATACTGATGTTTATCAAATGCGTGACTTTATTGCTACTACAACTAACAATGAAGTTATATTTTAACATTTATGTTATAATGTTGAAATTTCAGAAATAAATATTAATGTAACAATAGCATCATGCACTATTGCGAATAACAAGAGCATTCAAACGTTTGAAAAGTTATTGTGTTATACCTTGATCTAAACAATCAATCCTGAAAGCAGATATCAAATTTAATGTGATAACAATGAGAGCTGACACAAGAACCCTGTTTATTAAAATTAAATTACAATCGGAAGATTTTTACTGCAAGGGTCTCATAGTTATAATTATGCCATGAACAAAGGGACCTAGACAAAAAGTACTTCAAAATTTCAAATGCATTTGAATACAAATTGTATGTGCTTACTTTGTTGATAAGAATTTGATCATAAAATCTAGAAAGAATTCATTTTATATGTTCATGCATTCAAAATGGCTTTTTTAGTGTTTTTTGAAAATCATAAATTATGATCATTAAAATTCAGTTTACCTATAAATACGGATCTCAACCACGATACTAGAACAGTTCCAAAATGTCGAAACAACTTGGTACTATCATATTAGTAGTTGTCCTCGCGTGTGAATCTCAAGGTAAGCAAAACTATATTAATACACATTACCCTATTCAATTAATAATAATAATAAATGTTTATCACAGCACAGAGAAAGATTTTCCGCGGAGTAGATATTGATATTACTCAAGCGCCTTATCAGATATCTTTCCAATATTACAATAAAACCACCCGTGCATTTATTCACGGTTGTGGTGGATCCATCATAGCTCCTACCTGGATATTAACAGCAGGACATTGTGTTCATAAAGTGACTCTTAACCACATAAAAAATAAAGAGATAAAAATGATCGTAGGCATGACAAAACTCTCCGAACCTGGTATTTCACACCAAATCAAAAATGTTACAATACACAATAATTACCAAGTAATTAAGAACCCAGGTCCGATCAAAAGCAAATATACAATTAATGATATTGCATTGATTGAACTAACATCACCGATTGAATATACTGATCGTGCTCAACCTATTCACTTGCCAAGTGATAATGATCTTCCAAGACTTGGAACCCAATGTCAGGTTCAAGGTTGGGGACTGATAAATATTGACACAAAGCCTGACCACCTACAATCTACTACTGTAAAAATATTAGACTCCGATAGTTGCACTTTTGAGTGGATGAAAATGATAAATTTGCAAAAATCTGGTGCTCCGTATATTTGTGCTATGGGAGACAAGAACAATCGTTCTTGTCGTGGTGATTCTGGAGGTGCTTTGGTTTGCAACGGAGTGCAGAATGGGATTGTTGCTTATGGATCTGCAACCTGTACGCATACTCCAGTTGCCCCATCAGCATTTACAGATGTACTTTTAATGCGTGACTTTATTTCTGGTGCAACTAACAATGAGGTTAAATTTTAGCATTTTTACAATAATGTCAAAATTTAACAAATAAATATTAATAGTTTCAAGGACTATTGAGCATTACCAGAGCATTAAAATAATTAAACGTTATTTTATTCTTATAATTTTCAATCCGTTCCTTTCTATCGCTTTTAGTTTCCGTGATAATCACAATCAAAATATTGCAAAATATTTAAGACAATTTTTGCATTTTTTGTTACAATCCTTTTTTGACCCCCATATTATTTTACCATACAATATTCTAATACATTTTCTTATAGTAAATTTCACAAAGATTCAGAATTTGAAATCCATTTCTATCTATCACTTTTAGTTTCCGAGATAATCACTATCAAAATATTGCAAAAAATATTGAGACCATTTTTGCATTTTTTTATAAAATTATTATTTGACCCTCAAATTATTGTAATAGTCAAGATTCTAATGCATTTTTTGTAGAAAATTTCACGAGGATTCAGAATATGCAATCCGTTCCTTTATATCCCTTCTAGTTTCCAAGATAATCACTATCAAAATATTGCAAAAAATATTAAGACCATTTTTGCATTTTTTATTGCAATCCTTTTTTGACCCCCAAATTATTTTATCACCCAATATTTTAATACCTTTTTCTATAGAAAATTTACTGTAGATTCAAAATTTTCGATCCGTTCCTTTCTATCACTTTTAGTTTCCGAGATAATCACTATCAAAATACAGCAATCAAAAATATTGCATAGCTAAATATCGTTATTTCTAAATAAAACATCGTTATACAATATTGATTCCAAGTTGTATATCTATGTCATCCTGAAATTAATATTCATGTTAATAGTCAATTACGTGTAAATTGGTGTAAAATTAAACGCCGATCAGGCTGATCCCGGCAACTCTGAGACACTAAACACCAGTTCCGCCATATGTTGCATGGCAACACGACGCCGTAATAGACGAAAGTTAATTTTCGGGCCCTTAACGAACTTATCTCCTGATTGCAAGGCATCGGTGCAAGTTGGCGCAAATGCATCGGAACCATGGAAGCCATCCATCGCGTCTGGCACTTAGCGAACGCAATATCTTACCCAGTTACTCAGATGTGCGCTGTTTATAATTTTCTCCGGCGTCTAGGAGGACTCTGGGGCCTAGGCCATCCAATAGGAAGCAAAGTGCCTTCCATGCCTTCTTTTCTAATCTCGCGTCTAAAGTGAATTACGAGCGCTCTTCATTCAGCCCTGCTTGAAAATATTAACTTTTCTACAGGACAATAAATTCAAAACCACAAAAAATAAAAAAATTTTAAGAAAATTTTTTTTAAGAAAAATAATTAAATAAACATATTGTTCACACGTTATTCTAAGATTTTATAGTATTTTTTCTATTGTTAGAACAGTCTGTATGTAAATTTTTGCTCGCCTTCTTCGTTACATGTCGTTTAAAAATTTATAGCGTCGGCGGTGTCGGCGGTTGAAGCCGACCGTCCGCCGGGCATTACTATGCATAAGCAGATGCAAAACAAGCCGAAGAAAGAAAAGTTTCCGACGTCCGAGTGGTGGGCCACGTAGGACGTGAGGAGCTGACACAAAATAAACTTTTGCGCCGCGCTGCTTCTTCGCGCGCCGGCAATAAAAACTCTACAACTCCCCGCCGACACAATAAGTTATTAATGGCCAAATGCCTTGTTAAAGAGTTGCGTAATTAAATTTTGAGCGTTCACGAATTTAAATATTCTCTGACAATGACAGGCTGAAATTAGAAACTCGTCAAAAATTATTGGTGATAAAAATTTTACAAAAAAATCTCCATAATTCTATTTTTTTGTATTATTAACTTGATTAATATTTAGGCTTGATTTATGCAAATACTTTGAATAAATAAAACGCAGCCGGTGTTAAAAATGAAAAAAAAAGCGCTCGTTAAAAGAAGCTTGGAGCACGCGCGCGCTTTTTGGCCGAACGTACCGAATGTAATAATTAATTTAGATTGTTCTCGGAGCTCTCTTTAATTAATTTAAATTGGGCGGTCTCTGGCAGCGCTTTCACCGCATCGCCTAGCTAGTGCATCCACGTCAGCTGACTGCGTCGGTAATTAATGCGGTCTGAATGTGAGGAATCTCTGTTCCAAATTGCATCGCTCCGTTTGCGGCGGCGGCGGCGGCGTCGTGTGCGTTTTGTGTTCTTTCTTTTCCGAGTACACAATTTACGCGTCCCTAATTCGACCAATCTCTAGGCGCAATGTAATCACAAAAAGCTTGCATTTCGTTGCAGCGCTCGACAAATTACTGTCGCGACACAAACAGAAAAAAAAAACTTGTTCCTGTCTAGAGGTTTTTAGGCGTGTTGCGTGAAAATGCAAATTTGTTTGTTTAGATTTCAAGCACGCAGATTTTTTTTCTGTGAACGAACATAAAGTTGAAAGTCGGGCAGTGAGTCAATATTTATGAAAATTTCCATCACGTCTTAAAACATTCAACTGCAGATTTTTAAGAAGAAGAAAAAAATTTTTTTTAATGAAACATTGTGTCCATATGGGTTAATAAATTATTATTCATCCAATATAAGATAAATTAATAGCTTAATTTGTGAACCGCAGTGCACTTTTATCCCAAACATGATTTATCGCCACGATTAATTTACTTTCGACTCAACCGCCTCCCATAACTCTCACTTGCCGCTGTTATTTCTGTTACAGACCGACAGCGTTAGTGACCACCGAAATTACCGCCTTGAAGATGTGAAGAGCACAGCGCTGGGCACAAAACAAACAATCGAGCGATTTCGAGTGCTGCGAGAATTGGGCCATCAGGACCACGCCGAAATATCAACCGAAAGCAAGGTGGAAATAAAGAAATAAAGACGTCGAGATGGCGATGCGAAACTTCGTCTTTGTGCTCATCACGATCGGGCTGATCCTGCTCGCAAGTAAGTCCCGGGCCGAAAAGTCGAAGCTTTCGCCAGCCGTCGTCTTGCTAAGCTCGCGCGCGGTTAAAGTAAACACGACGCGACGGAGCGAATCCCGCATCGCAGGACCGAAACTCTCGTTAAAGAGTTTTCGCACACCTTTCTAATTAAATTCGGGCGGGCGTTCGTTTTCCATTCGGCTGGACTCTGCAGCGAGGAAATTTTTCAATAAATATCCAGCGTGCAGTTGTAGATTCGTTTATGAAACGCATAGAAACGAGCGAACAGGAGATATCTACTTCTGCACGGACAAGTTTTTATTTTATTAAACTTTTCCGTAGTGTGCCAAGTTTATTTTCCGATGAGGTATTGCACGTTCTTAATTTTCAAGCGAAGAAAAACAAAAAACAGTTGAAAAGTTATCGAAACTTTTTTTTACAAAAATAAATTGTGTTCAACAAGAAATCCTGATTAAATACGTGTGTTAAAAATATAATTAAATAAACAAATAAAAACAAAGGGTGTTTAAGTTGGGCGCAGCTGCAATTGTTTACGTTTTGAGTGGATACTTAAAATAGAATTTAATGATTAAACGCAAGCGACACTTAAAAATAATTTTTTTAAATTTTTTTTTCGTATTTTTGCTCTTTTTAGATAAATTTTATGAGGAAAAGTTGCTTGATGAACTTATATTTAATTTACTTAAAATTTCCCGTTGATTGATTCACTCATTTTTGCAGGAAAGCAAAAATAAACGTTTTTATTGCGTTCTTAAAATAGAATTTCTCCATCAAAACAAATGTCATTCCTATTTCATTTTATAACTTGTTATGCATTGCATAAAAACCGAAAATAAAACAATGTGTCATGTGTACCAGCAGCACATTAGATCATTCTGTAATGAATGCAAATTTTATTTACACAGGATGACTTCACTTTGCTGATATTACTCTTAATCACAAATCATCGCATTTCAGTGCTTGTCACCGCTCATTGTGCGCGTTCTGTGTATGCAAATTTGTAGCGTGCCCAATTTTTCGTCCCAGTTGTGACGCTGATGAAATCCGTTTGTTTTAATTACGCCTGGCGATTGGAATTGGAAAGCGAAATCTCGGCGTGTGTTTTCGGCATTAATTTCGTGAAGTGGTGCGTACACCGCGCCTCCTGACGCTGACAGCGGTGCCTTTATTGCTTCCAGCTAATTATAATAAATTCGACGCCTGCTAACGACCATTGCGGTGCGCGATCCAAACGTGCGTTTTTTTCTGTAATCATCATCGACGTTTAATGCGGGTCAATTGCAGGGCAATGTCAGTCAATAATTAAACTTTATGTGTATGTAAATTAAACTTCGACTCGATGCGATCGTAAATTGTCATTTAGATCCGACCACAACGAAGAAAAAAAAAATGTAAATTAAGCACATGCTAATTAATTGTATTATCTAACGCTAACAATAATAATAACAGCGACGACAAATTATTTTTTAAGTGCCTGGGAGACTAATCTGTGTTTTTGCAGGCGCCACGGCGTACAAAAGCGTGGGATATCATCACGATAAGAAAGCGACGCAGAAGAGCTACGTCTGCCCGCCGAATTTCATGAGATTGAGCTACAAGTGCTACTACTTTAGCAATACGACAGCGACATGGCAAGAGGCTTATTGGAAGTGTCGAGACATGAAAAGTAACATCGCCACCATCAAGAATGGCAATCAGGATAAAATCGTACGAAAGACTTTGGATCATGATTCGTTAGGTAAAAATTGATATTATATTACACCATGTAACATAACCCAACTTAATGTCTTCTATAATGAAAATTAATCGTTTTGCACCACTTGTGTTTGATTGCAGTGCCGTTCGAGCGCTGGATTGGCGGTCGTTACGATTGGGGCACGATGTCTTGGCAGTGGGCTGCGTCCGGTCGTGAAATACAATTTCAAGGGTTCGAAGACGGGTTCCCCAAGCAAAAAGAAGCTTTGGACTGGCATTGCATCATACTTGACCCAAAGAAACACTATCGGTACACACCAGCCATCTAAAAACAATAAAAATAAATTTTTATTAAAAAAAAATTATTTTCAGTTGGAGTTCAAGAAGTTGCACCGAATCCAAGCACTACGTCTGTCAAACCAAGCTGCGGAAAGTAGACAATCATGAAAAACGTAAATTACAACGTCAATATCACAATAAATTAAACGACGTCCCAGTACCGGATATTATCCCAAATGCCATTCTACCTGACACAGTCGATACTTACATTAGTCCGTATAATGATAACAATACGCTTGATAACAACGCCGCCGCGTATGGCCCACGTGAATATCGCCGTAAGAACAAAAAGGACACCAACACGCACACGCAGAGAGATGTCATTGCCGCGAAAAGGCTGCGAAATCGTGAGAATCGCACACGCAAGAACAAACGTCGACAGCATGAGAAAGATGCACGGAATGAACACTTAGGCAGGAAGAAGAAGATCAACTATATGACTTATTACGAAGCGACTAAGGACTCATTACATCCGAGGGTCGCCGTTGAAGATTTTAGATATTCCAAATAAGCAAACGTTACAATATATCAAATGAAAAATATCACATTCGCAGAATATCAGCAGAAATTTCATCATGGATTAATTTATAATAAAATAAAAGAAAAACGCCGATTATTTATAGAATAAACTTGAAAACTTGATAAGTAGATGTTAGAAGTTCAAAATACACCAGTGGAGTAATAAATCGTAGAGTAGTCTTGAAGATTCCAGAAATTTTGTTTTGATTAATCAATTATGCGAAGTGTAACAGTTTAGAAATACCAAGAATGAATAATACTCTTCTTGACAAGTAGCTGGAAGTCATAAACACTTATATTTGACTGAATAGACATGAAAAACTCTTTTATATGCTGTTTATGTTTATGTTTATGTTTGCAATTGCAATGCGGAGAATTGCATGTGTTCCAATACTTACTTAATTATGCTTCTTGTCATCTTTAATTGTTTCCTAAAACATAGTAGGATTACCAATACCAAGTATAACAAATGTAACAATCCATCAATATATTTATGTATCATATAAGTACTCACTATGTATGTATAAAGTACTTACATACTCATAATAAAAGTATCAAATGTGTTCCAATTTAATTTTTTTATTTTTTTGTTTCTGCTTGAATACAAGAGAAATGTAAATGCAAAAACACTTGAATTTAAATTTTAGACGTTTACTATTGAAGTATGTATTTAAATATCTAAACATAGGCTGTTTGAAGTATTAATTAATTAATTAAGTAAGGCGATTAGTGGTTGAAAGTTATCGATATGTATCAATGTAATAAAACGATTACCATTAATTATATTTTACGATAGTGTACAATTGAATTGATTATTGTTGTGTCTACTTCCTTGTTCTAACTTGACGTTGATTATATTTTATTCTATCTAATGATTTATAATATAATGATGAATGTAATTGTCTTTGTTGTATTTTGTAAATATTGTGGCAGTGTCACATGTATCACAATCGATCGAATAGCTTTTGTAAATATTTATGATTCTTATATATTTTCATCATTATTTGTGGCTTGTATTGAGTTTTTCAACTTGGGAAGCATAATAATGCTGTATATTTTTATTATTTCTTTTTTTATGAATTTTAATGTGAAATTTGTTGAGAATAAAGGTTTTGACTCACCTACAACTGTTTTATCTTATTGAAATGTTTAAAAGTTAAGATTTTTAAAGATTTCGTAGGAATATGAACGTATAATTGTTGTAGTTAACCTTAGAATGTATATAAAATACGGTTTTACTTATTTCTGTTGATAAAACGATGATAAACGAGAATATATCTCAACGAACTTTTATTTGTAACAGTCAAAGCAACACAAACTGTCAGGGTACCAAAAATCACACGTAGATGGCGCTGCATGTACGAATTTGAAATAAAATTCCGTTTGTTTCTGTTTTTTATCATATTTACTCAGTTATACATCTTACAATATACTAAAATTGCAACAACAACAAAAAATAACATCATTTCAACTTGTGCAGCATTCTAATTACTAATTATTATTTAAATTATTTTATTTTACTAATTATAATAAATTTATTAATTAAAAAATTAATTAAACCAATAAAAATTTACAACCCATAATTATACTGTATTTATTATTGGTAATTGTTTATTCTAGCAATTGATAACCACTGCCAGCGTTTTTATCTCCATCTCCGACGTACGCATCAATTAATTACGAATCACTTATAAAAATGCACAAACGTTGCAATAAAAATTATTTACGAGCGCTAATAACTTAGCACACCATCTCGATAAAGCGTTAAAGCGTCACTTAGATTAACCATATAATAATATAAGCATGTGAGGTCTTGAGAAGTGAATGTACCCGATTAAAAATCATCAAGAAAAAAAAAACGCAATAAATCTTCCAGCCGGCTTGGACTTCTGACCTTTAACTTTCTTAGACAACAATTTCTTCTAGTAGCTTGATTCAATCCTTATTACAAACATTTAATAAGCAAGCAAATAAACCAATCATTAGTGCGTGAAGTGTTCAACTTCACTCATCAACCGGATTAAAAATAGATAAAAATGGGTCATGAATGTAATAAAACGCTGAAATTCGGCGGAAATCTTCTGATGTGGTATGAAAAAATAATAATTAACTAAAGTTGTAAAAATTGGCCTTCAAACACTTGGAAAAACAAAATAATAAACTATTTATTTTTATATTTAAGAAAATTTTAGTTAAATTAAGTTATATTTGAATTATTTATTCATTGATAAAATTATTAATATTGTTTATTAATTGTGCAAGTTATTGAGTGTAACAAACACGGAAGTGAAGTAGGGTAAAGTAAACAAATATGCTTAATAATAATTGATGACTCAATTCCAGTGCATAAATTCATATTGAGGATTGAGACATGTGTGCGTATTCGTAGTTTAATACGCATTATCGTTATGCGGTTATGCGCAATCACGCATTTAATATTTCAAGCGGAGAAGCGCATTCATACTTTGAAAAGGAATCCTTGTTTGATAAGTTGGTGCAGTGCATCAGCACATTGCAGACAGCAAACGCTAGAATGCGAAATGTAATGTAGTAATGTAATAAAACATCAATGTATAGATTACAAGTATTTAACGTTTTAATTTAAAAAAATGCTTTTATTTGAGAAAAAATGTTTTAAAAGTTTGTATTTTGTAGTTTGGAGTAGAATAATTAATAAATGATTAGAAAATATCAAGAAATTTCTATTTAAAAGTGAAAAAACGAAAAGTTTCAAATAAGGTTAGATTTATTTTGACAGCAGATGCATAATGTAGGCAACCCACTATGCAAAATATTAAAATTCATATAATTTAAATGAAAATTTAAACTTTTAGTGTTGCAATCGACATAGTTTTAAAAGGAAATTTTATTTGTGCACAAGTTTAAGAATGGCAATAAATAATTACCTATATACTGAGTGATTACATAAAATAATTAAAAATTAAATAAAATTTGCTTTATAGCCTTCAATTACACACATTTCTGAGAAATAATAAAATTATCCCATTATAAATAAACGTGCTAAAATATTACTTGCTTTCTAAGTAAAAAAAGTGTAATATTCATTAATATTTCTCAGTAAAACAATTTTTCCTGAATTTTGTAATTTTAGAACCTCAACTAATTCCTACATCATTTTTTCACGTACCTTCCATACATTGTGTACATATATTGCTGATTATGTACACACAGTTTCGTATAATAAATATTTCTGTCCCTCGCATCGCAGCTTTACCATTCGCGTTCGCGAGTTCTCCGCTCGCTGTTTGCTCAGTTAGCTTTTTACGTTTCTGCAACGATGTCGTAGGTTCAGTCGCGGTTCAGCCAGTTCACTAGGTCCCACACGGACAAGTTCACGACGCGAAATAATTACATTTCAATTCAATTCACAACAATTACGAATAATTATTGAAAATTGCAAGTTACGGCTAATAATTACCGAGAATCACCATAATTACCGGCTATTAAGTGTTACTAATACAAATTGTACATGGATATTTAATTTTTTTTTCAAGTTTAAAAGTGTAAGTGTTTTAAATACTTTTGTGTGAATTTTTCCAATTTAAGAATAATAAGAGAAATATCATGAGTAAGTACATAAAATATTATCGATAGTTTAGTAAATGCACCCATGACATATATTTCACGAATATTCCACATTCGACACGCGTGTTACGTGCGATAATCGGTCGTAATGTTTACGAATGTATTTTGTACAACTATACGAGTACAACGAGTAAGCGATTGATTTTCACTTCGTGTATGTAGATATTTATAGTGGGTGTGTGTACTCAGTTGCTCACACTTCGACTCGCATGCGTTTTCGATCAATTCCATGGCATTCAATTTAAATTCTTCACTTACACCACAAAAAAAAATTTAAAAAATTCTGTTGTCGTCTGCATTCTTTTATGACCTTTGCCAGTTCAGACTTTAAATTAGCATCCGAAATTTAACTCCATACTCTTGTGATCTTTGTGCTTTGTGCTGGCGTTCGCATTAACATTCATTTCTTATCGTGCATCAAATAAAGCGAAAACATTCCGAGGTCAAATACTTCTTGGTGTTTCTTGATGCTTGGCGTCGTTTTTTTATTTTGACTTATTTGAGATTTTGGCATGTAACCAATTCATTTATTTGGCGCACGGAGCGTATTATGAGTCTATCCAAACAAATTCACGGGTGTGATACTCGCTTCATTGCCCAATAATCAATCTGGATGTGTTCTGAATGTGATGATGAGATTTTTGGGTTGTGTTTGTTTAGTTTTAGAGCACATTGACCTTTTAAACAAAATTTTGGGTACTATTTTAATTTTCTTTGAAATAAACGAAGAATTGTTTGGAAATAAATGCAGAATTTGAGGAAATAGGAAAAATGTTTCTTTTTTCGTGTTCTTCTTTTGTAAACACGTATGTTTTATGTTTCTGTGTCTTCGTTTTCTTCTTCCCAATCTGCACCTTTTCTTCTTCTTTTTTCTTCTTTTCTTCTTCTTTTTTCTTCTTTTCTTCTAATTTTTCTTCACCTTTTCGCTTTTCTTCTTTCTTTTCTTTTTCTGCTATTTCGAGATTTATTTTTTTTTATTTTTCTTCATTTTCTGCTTTTCTTCTACTTTATCATCTTTCTCTTCTTCTTTTTGCTTTCTTATTATCTTTCTGCTTTACCTTCCTGCCCTTTATTCTTCTTTTTCACCTTTCTTTCCCCAATTCTTCTTCTTTTCCCTTTTCTCCCTTATTTTATTTTTCTCCTTCTTCTTCTATTACTTCCTCTCCTTCTTCAACATTCAATATTTCTTCAATTTCTTCAATTCTTCTTGAAAATATAGAGGGCACTCCGAAACATTCTCCAACAATAAACTTTACCTCCCAGGTATAAAACCACACCCAAACCCCTTCGAAATTAAGATCATACTTCACAGGATCATTTCTGTAGTATATCTTCGCATACTCTTCACAAACGTGTTGAGTTATTGCAACCGCGATGAAGAGACGTAGCTCTGCATCTTGAGCGTGAGGCTGCAATATTTTACTCCCTTCAGAGAGTAAATATTGTCACGATGATCGTTCAGGCCACCTCTGGTGGTTTTACGGATGTGGAGCATTCAGAGTGGTTGCAATTTTATAAATAATACAAAACAAAACCTCATTTAAAAAGCATTTAAAACTGAATATCAAATAGCAAATGCGTTAATTGCGCGAATGACACTAATAACAAACATATCAAAGTAAAATAAACACACTTATATTGCAACAAACATTCATGCTCATGTTATCGTTTATCGATTGATTAATGAGAAGCGATTTTAATTGCTAATTAGTGTCAATATGCGCGACCTATAGCCAATTATCTGTAAGATCTAATTACGCCTGACATTGCTCAGTGCATTTGCATCTCATTCGCAAGCAAACAATGCGAATATTTTGATTTAATACCTGTATAGACAATGTATAATTATTTCATTGTCCACCCGCACAGCGAAACATGCACATTGCACACCTGCAGGCTGCAAATTCCTTCGTATTCGTACTCGGCACGATTCACACATTCTTCAATGAATACTCAAGAATTTAATGATTTAACGATTTCAATCGGGAAGTGTTTGTGTTTGTAGAATAGTAGAATAGGTCCAATCATGCAATCAAGCACTTCTATTGTTTGAAGAGATTACTTGAAGAAATTACCTGCTCTCTTTTTAAATACAATAGCATGCACGCATTCTTTTGCATAAATCTCTCGACGCGGTGAAGATGAAAAGTAAAATAATCATTAAATAACTTACTGGGTTTTCCTCATAAACAATTTTACACTGTTTTAATTGTGTAGTGTGAAGTATATTCAGATAAATTGGAGAACATGAATAAATAGTCCAAAGAATCGATTTCCTAGATCAGTTTGAACACAGACACCGCGTATTTAACATCGGACTAAAAGTTTAAAGAAATTAAACCGATGGGTGTGGATATTATACAGTAAGTTTAAATTATATCACATTATAATTCTCATAATGTATATTAACGCCATCTGGATTTCAATTATATAACTGTAATCATGATTTTATGTTAATTTAAACGTTTTTCTTTAATTTTACTGTTTTAAAATTTAATTTTTGCAATAAAAAGTATTCTATATCATATTTTGATTAATAACCTATAAAATTATTAAGTTTGGTGAACATTGCTTGAGTAGATTTTACGTGAAAGTGTAACAAACATACGCACATACTTAAATTTGCATTTACCACGGATACGGCTATAAATTACAATGTCAGAGACATAATAAATTCATTAGTTAACTAACTTATCCATTTATGGTCAACCGTCAAGATTTGATTTTTTTATTTTTATTCATTGGAAGTTATTTCAAGGATTATTGTCAAGAGTACAATAATTGCGTGCGTGCAAATTGCACATTACAAATTAACGGTATATTTATCATTTTATCTGCTATAAAAGTTAATTTGTTAATTTAAAAGTATCAACATGTTTCGTAATAAATAAAACTATTTACATTTAGATAACACGTAATATTTGTCTACATTTTTTCTGCTAGACACAAAAAAATTCAACACATCTTTTATTCTTTAAAATGCATGATCATCACTCATCAATAATGTCACCTGGAATTTATTACAATCGACACGAGCATGGAATAAGAAAATAAAATTCGCATTTGCATTTCACATTCGACCTAAAAATAAACACATAATTTAAATTTTGGCCACAAAGGGTGACGAAATTTCGTGCTCAACATGCAGTAGACATTTCGAAATCATTTTAAATATTTATCATGGTAAAATTAGCGATGACATTGTTAAACTTGAGCAAATCGCATCGCGAAATGATCAAACTCTGTGGACAGGGTGATGTCATCAAATAAGGTGCAGCCTCATTGTTAATAACAATCAACAGATTTTATGATATCGTTGTGTTAAGATGACCGTATCTCTCCTATTGATTGAACTAATTGTAATTTAATTCGATGCGAAACAAAGATTATTCATTCAGATATCATTCATCGTTGAATTATTTTAAATATTATAGGTTAATAGTTTATAAAGTATCAAAAATGTAGTGCAGGCGGTAGTTAAAGTCAAATTTTAGAACATCGTGAACAAATTGACCTTAAGTTTAATTTAGTCGCGCGCATTAATCGCATCAAGATGTTTAGGCATGAATTTTATGAATACCGTTGTGTTTATACTGACGCCATGCTGGTTTTAGTTGACAGATACGTAAAATCTTCATCGAAAGTGGACGCGCAGTGCATACAGACAAGTCGTAAACCTACTTTACTTACATGTAATAATTTACTGAGCCATATGTAAAATTTTTAAAGAAAATTTTAGCAAAAATTTTTTAAATAAATTAAACTGATTGATGAATGATGTCATCAAATTGTCCATGTCCATGAACTTCAATACAATTACATAGCAATTTCGGCAATTTGGTATTATTAATTGATGAGTGCAAATTTTATTCCAGCGATGATGACTTGATCAATGTGCTTCCAGGCGTCCGAAAAATGAAAAATGAACAGAGGACATTCGTCCTTGGGACGATCCGTAAGTATGCCATTCGTAATATCTTGCGGTTTACGACTTTTTGATTGTTTCTGAAAGCGTTTTGCGTAGTTCTAGTTTTATCGACGCTGACGTCTCCGAGCCGCGCAGATTGCCCCGTAAACTTTCTGCAACTGCACAACAAATGCTACTATTTCAGTCGGGACGTCGAACAGTGGTCGGATTCACATTACCGATGTGCTGCATTTAATTCTACGCTTGTGACTCTTAAAAGCAAACACAACAATAAGAAATTGGTGGAATATTTACGCCAAGAAAATTTAGGTAAGGAATAAAAATTTGTAAATATTGGGATTGGGATTATTTGTGTTTAAAAATTGTCATATTTAAATTAGTGCAAAATTTGAAAAACATTAATTGAACATTTATCTTTTTTATTGCACAAACTTACAAATTATTTTTCACCCCCTTCAAGTTAGATTTTAGCAACAAAAAGTAGCCTATGTTATTCCCCCATGCCCAAAATATCTCCATACAAAAAATTATCAAAATTCCTTGAGTGGTTTTTGCTCCAGAGCGTAACAAACATACAAAAAAAAATTTAAATTCCAGCAACTAAAGAATGGTGGATTGGCGCACGTTACGACTGGAAGCAACGCCAGTGGCAATGGGGCGCAACCGGAAAACCGGTCAAGTTCAACCACTTCGTCCGAGATCTCGCCCAGAAAACCAAACTGGAATGGCACTGCGCATTCTTAGATCAGCGCCAACAATACAAGTAAGCATAGGGTCACCATAAATCAAGCACTGTGCAATCATAACAAACCATGCTCCATGAATATTTATTACTTATTTTAATTGTTATTAAATTGACTTGTGTGCAATACCGACGCGATTTTTTCGTGTTGAACCATCGCCCAAAATAGAACCCAATCTATATGCTATAAATACCTCATCTTTATAGTTATACAACCACTAGCTTTAACCCGCGGCTTCGCTCGCGAATATTTAAAATAATGAAGTTGTTTCCGTACGCGTCTGTAGTCACAGAAGAAGTAACAATGAAGTAGAATGGCGGGAAGTTTAAAATGGCTGAAAGTATAGTCTATGGAAGTATAGTGTACAGTCTCCATAGTGTAGTCAATTGGTTTTGATGTTGACGTAGCTGTCGGTAATACAGTGTGATAATACAGTGTGATGGTACTATAGTACTTAGGTTTGAGCTTCATTGCTGGAATGCTAGATGGCGTTAAAGTAGTCAAATAGCCAGATGCAGAGGTATTATTGGCTAAACTATTTCTTTATTTTATTTAAAAAATAATTTTTTTTTATTAAATAAAAAGTAGCCTATAACCATTCGGGGACCACTAAGAATATGTGTAGAAATTTTCATGATGATCGGTTAAGTAGTTTTTGCGTGAAAGTGTAACAAACATCGGGACTTTTGCATTTATAATATTAGTAGGGATTTTAATTGTTTAATTGACTTGTGTGCAATACCGACGCGATTTTTTCGTGTTAAACCATTGCCCAAAATTGAACCCAATCTATATGCTTTATAGTTATACAACCAAAAATACATTTTTAATTTTATATCACCACAGATGGAATGCAGATCCTTGTACGCGCAAGAAATACTTCATCTGCATGCAGAATGACTTGGATTACCATGGTGATAATAATAATAACATAGACAATCAAATACCTGTGATTGTTTCACGGGACTTTTTAGAAGAAGAACATTTGAAGAACGAGTTGAACGGAGATAATCAACCGGCATTCATAATGACTGGTATGAAACCACTTAAACCCAAAGGTAATCTGCGTCCTGGGCGTCCACAGCAAAGATACGCATGTCCTAAGGGTTATGGATCTGTTCGTAATTCTTGTTATAAGTTTTCGAAGACGCAGGCGACGTGGCAGGAAGCTTATTTCGCTTGTACAGACGAATCGAATGGAAATGGCACATTGGCTATTATACCTGACAAGAAGTATGATCGTGGGCTGAGGAGGTATGCGAAACGTATTGGGGCTAAGGCACATGAAAGGTGGATTGGAGGAATTTACGATTGGCAGACCACGGCGTGGAAGTGGGCTGCCAACGGGGTTATTATTCAGCATAAGGAGAAAGATAAAGATGTTTTGCATTGGCATTGTTTGATTTTTAGTCCGCTACTCACTGATAAGTAAATTTATATTTCACAAAATAAAAATTTAATATTTTATGTGAAATTGGTTTTAGATGGACGTCTGATCAGTGTACAATTAGAAAATATTATATTTGTCAAACGGCGCCGCAGGTTTATGTTCCGATGGAGATGAATAGAAGACCTGGGGCACAGAACAAGGTAAATGTTAAGGAAGGTGATGGCCAGAGACGGAAAGACAAGTTCGATTACTCGGTGCTTTTAGAGTTTCGTAGGAATATGACGCATCGAGAGCAACAGTTTCATTACAAACGTTTGTAGCTTCAATTTTTGATTTTAAACTTCAACGTGCTTTAATTAGTTGGTAGTTTTTTTTCTTTGACTTATAGAATTGTCTTTAGAATTAGATTTTTGTATAAAACAATTGTAATGTGTTTAATATTTCATAGATTTTATTTATTTAATTATTTATTTATGTATAATAAAAAGTGACTAATTTAAATGAAAATAAAGTGTTTAAACTTGATTTAAAAAAAATTAATTAAAGATATGATTTATTTTGTTATTGAATCAATTTTAAACACTTATTTTTATATTTTTATTTATTTATTGTTTATATTTTAATTTTTAATTCATTTTCATGTTTATTCTTTTAGAAAACTCGAGGCAAAATAAATCAAATGCAGCAAAACTAAGACCTTTGTTGGTGTCTCCAAGAAAGACTGATTTTAGTCAGTTGGATGAAAGAACAAAGATGTGAAAACTCAACTTTAACTTCGAAAGTTTTTAAGTTTTCAGTTCACGGAATGGAAAATAGAAGGAAAATGCATTCAACAGCGTGTATTAAGCGGAAAGTTTGATTGTAACGTGTTCACTTTTTAATATATTGTTTGTTGTTTTAGTGTATCTTGATAAATTGTTCATATCAATGATTAATAATGTATTCTAGTGTTTTTATTAATGATATGTTATTAATGAGATTTGTATGTTCGTATTGTTAATAAATATTATTTGTGTAAATATAAATAATTGATTTTTTTATTTGTTTTTATGAAAAAATTGTTGTTTTGTGGATTTTTTTGGTAAAAACCAATTGTTTGTGTTATTTGTTGTCTTATAACTTATCACGATTAGTTTTAGAGCACGTGTTTTTGCGTTATTTAGTTTTTTCTTACATGATGCCGGCCTCTATTGGTTTATTTTATAAACTCTGTTACGTATAAGCGTTACATAATGCGGCACTTAGCGTTCTCTTGTGAACATTAAACCAGAAGCCAAAAGAGAAGCTATATTAACTCGGTGAATGGAACTGTAGTATTTCTTGTGTCTCATAGATGGCAAAGCAAGGCCTAAAATTTCTTAATTTCACCTTGTTAAATTTATTTGTGACTTGTTTGCTTCCATTTACTAACAAATTAAATTATTAACTATCTAATAAATACATATTTTAAGATTTATAATATTAAAATAGATTATTTTTGTGAATTATATTTAAAAATATATTTTACAAACTATAACAATACAGATATATTCATTTGCTTCTTGTTTTTAAGCGTAAATCTATTACGACGTATTTATTCTGTTTATTAGGCTTGAAATTTTACCTACCATCATATTTTATCTATTTTCTATCAATTCTAGCATTATTTGCGTTCCTTATTTAGTCCAATTTGAGTTCTAGAAAATTTGCGACGTAATTAACTCGCATAGGTATCACATGTGTCCCGTTTGTTGTTTATTTCTATCAGTTCGTTAACTGTCCCTACCTACGCCAATTGCTATCGTTCGATATTCAATTCTCAAACACACACAATGCGAAAACTAGAAATTTATTATATGAGGGCTGATTAGCATATCGCGCACGTTGCACACGCTGCACATTGCAAAACGCATCGGTTTCAACCGTTTTCTTTACCGACAAATTTGCGCCAAACCATTTTATATTAGTTTTATTTGTTTTTATTTTATTTTACTCACTAAAATGAAGTTAATGCAATTTTCAGATATTTATCCCAAAAATTTACATTTTTGATTAATGAACCATGAAATTCACATTAAATTCAATAATCTACAATCAACAAATGTTGTCCAGATGACATGATCACTTTTTTACTTCATTCTTTTCATTTTACGACAATAAATCTAGGTATAAACCCTAAGACTTATAGAACTGTTTTTAGAATTAGATTTTTGTATAAAATGATTGTAATGTGTTTAATACATCATAGATTTTATTTATTTATTTATTTATAATAAAGAGTGACTAATTTTAATGAAAATAAAGTGTTTAAACTTGATTTTTTGAAAAATTAATTAAAGATATAAATTAATTTATTATTGAATCAATTTTAAACACTTATTATTTATATTTTAATTTTTAATTAATTTTCATGTTTTTTCTTTTAGAAAACTCGAGGCAAAATAAATCAAATGCAGCAAAACTAAGACCTTTGTTGGTGTCTCCAAGAAAGACTGATTTTAGTCAGTTGGATGAAAGAACAAAGATGTGAAAACTCAACTTTAACTTCGAAAGTTTTTAAGTTTTCAGTTCACGGAATGGAAAATAGAAGGAAAATGCATTCAACAGCGTGTATTAAGCGGATAGTTTGATTGTAACGTGTTCACTTTTTAATATATTGTTTGTTGTTTTAGTGTATCTTGATAAATTGTTCATATCAATGATTAATAATGTATTCTAGTGTTTTTATTAATGATATGTTATTAATGAGATTTGTATGTACGTATTGTTAATAAATATTATTTGTGTAAATATAAATAACTGATTTTTTATTTGTTCTGGTGAAAAAATTGTTGTTTTGTGGATTTTTTTGGTAAAAACCAATTGTTCGTGATATTTGTTGTGTTTGTTGTTGATATTAGTTTTAACGCACGACTTTTCGCGATATTTAGTTTTTTCTTAAATGTTGTCGGCCTCTACTGGTTTATTTTATAAACTGCGTTGGGTTTAAGCGTTACATAATGCGGCACTTAGCGTTCTCTTGTGTACATTAAACCAGAAGCCGAAAGAGAAGCTATATTAACTCGGTGAATGGAATTCTAGTCTTTCCAGTGCCTCATAGATGGCAAAGCAAGGCCTAAAATTTGTTAATTTTGCTTTGTAAAATCTATTTGTGACTTTTCTTTGCTTCCATTTACTAACAAATTAAATTATTAACTATTTATAGATCTTAGTAAATACATATTTTGAGATTTATCATATTCAAGTATCTTCTTTTTCTGAATTATGGTTAAAAATATATTATACTAACTATAGCAATCATTTGCTTATTGTTTTTAAGCGTAAATCTATTACGACGTATTTATTCCGTTTATTAGGCTTTAAATTTTACCTACCATCATATTTTATCTATATTCTATCAATTCCAGCATTATTTGCGTTCCTTATTTAGTCCAATTTGAGTTCTAGAAAATTTGCGTCGTAATTAACTCGCGCAGGTATCACATGCGTCCCGTTTGTTGTTTATTTCTATCAGTTCGTTAACTGTCCCTACCTACGCCAATTGCTATCGTTCGATATTCAATTCTCAAACACACACAATGCGAAAACTAGAAATTTATTATATGAGGGCTGATTAGCATATCGCGCACGTTGCACACGCTGCACATTGCAAAACGCATCGGTTTCAACCGTTTTCTTTACCGACAAATTTGCGCCAAACCATTTTATATTAGTTTTATTTGTTTTATTTTATTTTACTCACTAAAATGAAGTTAATGCAATTTTCAGATATTTATCCCAAAATTTACATTTTTGATTAATGAACCATGAAATTCACATTAAATTCAATAATCTACAATCAACAAATGTTGTCCAGATGACATGATCACTTTTTTACTTCATTCTTTTCATTTTACGACAATAAATCTAGGTATAAACCCTAAATAGTGAATCATTAAATCGCTACTAATATTATAAATGTGAAAGTCCTGATGTTTGTTACACTTTCACGCAAAAACTACTTAACCGATCATCATGAAAATTTGTACACATATTCTTAGTGGTCCCCGAATGGTTATAGGCTACTTTTTATTTAATAAAAAAAATATTTTAAAAATAAAATCAAGAAATTGTTTAGCCAATAAAACCTCTGCATCTGGCTATTTGACTACTTTAACACCATCAAGCATTCCAGCAATGAAGCTCAATCCTAAGTACTATAGTACCATCACACTGTATTATCACAGTGTATTACCGACAGCTATGTCAACATCAAATCCAATTGACTACACTATGGAGACTGTACACTATACTTCCATAGACTATACTTTCAGCCATTTTAAACTTCCCGCCATTCTACTTCATTGTTACCTACTTCTTCTGTGACTACAGACGCGTACGGAATCAACTTCATTATTTTAGATATTCGCGAGCGAAGCCGCGGGTTAAAGCTAGTTTACAATAAATTCATTCGTCTTCAATAATTCACAATGAATAAATGTTGTCCAGATGACATGATAACTCTTTTACTTCATTTTTTCATTTTACTACAATAAATCAAGCTATAACTTCAAAATATTGAATTATTAAATGTTTAGTATTTAATCATGCAGTAAATATGCATCCTCATGACATCCGAAACAATACAAAATACAAAACCTACACATAAAGATTAATAACAAGAACTTCCTTTGTATTTATGAGGGTGATCTCAATATAACCTCCAAATCCAAGCCGCATGATGTATGCACTCCCTTTAAACTCTGCACGACTAATCGCTTTTATTGGATTACAGGGTGCGATGCTGTTGACCCTCCACATCACAATCACATGCATCCATTCATCCCTTCGTTTCATGTTTGCGCATGTAGACGCTTATTATTCACAGATAATTAAAAATCAAATAAAGCAGGTGTCTCTGCAAATACTAGGCTCTACACCCTAGATCACGACCCATAACAAGTGAATAAGTAATTTTTTCGTTGTGACAAGTGTACAAATTTAAACTGCGATGATAAATTGTAGTTTATATGCATTGTCACGGTTTATAATAAGTTAGAACAAAAATTAATTAATTTTTATTTTATTTTGACAGATTAAGTTATGTGTAGTAAGGTTATGTTGGTAGTGCATATGTGAAAATTCATTTCAGGATGTTTTGACTCTTTGAACCTACCTTTATTAAAGATCAAACAATCACCACATGAAAGTGCGTCACGTGCCGCACATTTTCCTCCTTCAGTAGACTCTGCAGCTGGATGAAGATCCTTTGTGCTTGTTTGGCTCAATAATCAGACAAAAGTCGATAGAAATTGAAGGCGCACTTCTTATTCATGGACACCATTGACGTAACTATGCGTATTATGTTATTGTATTGTCCAACAGTGAATTTTGAGTGCAATACCGGTATTTCAGGTTTTTTTTTAATCGGTATACCGGTTAATTGATATTTAAAGAATAATTTTTTATTGTATAAGAAAGACTGGTGATAAAAATAAAAATACCGGTATTTAAAACAAAAAATACCGGTATACCGGTATTGATACCGGTATTTATTTAAATAAAAAAATTGAATTATGGTAAATACCTCTATTTTTATATAATTTATTTTATTATATAAAAAAATACCGGTATTTGAGACAAAAAATACCGGTATTTTGCACCCCTCTATTTAAAACTCAAATAATCGTAATCTTTGATGAGCAAAACGTGTCAGCGATTGAAATACACAATGTGCAATGATCCGGAAAGGTAAAACTTTAATAAACATTTGTTTCGAGTACTCATGCACAATGTGCAATAATCGGTAATTGAAATAGTCCACCCTTATTAAAACCGCACCCTCTTCCTCTCGTCATTTTCCATGAGGGACGTCTTCGCTGTGTTTTTCGGCGTGGGTCAGCTTATTCCCCTAGCGCTCGGTGCGGTCTCGGGAATTTTAATACATGTCAGCGTGAATTAATAGCCCACCCCCGGGAACCCCCGGAACCCCCGGGGTCGACGCCGTATATTAATATATTACTCGTACGGCCACTATCGGTACCTACTCGTACAGTAGCTAATAGATGAC